AGCAGAGTTTTTCAGGAATCGGGGCATCAGATGTGTAGTTTATTTGGATGATTTTCTGTTGGCAAGCCAGTCGATGCAACAACTACAAGAATATAAATTATATCATTAACGATAAAGATCATGCAGTTACTAGGTTGGACAAGAAATTTCGAAAAGTCTGTGCTGATTCTGACACAGTGCCTCGAGTCTCTCGGCATAACATAGGACACAAAACTCAATGCAAAGTCCTTATCGGAGAAAAAGTGCTTAACGCTACGCAACGCACTTCAGCAATAGCTCTTAAAAGGCAAGTGGTCCCTCTAACAGTATCAGATCTTAAATAGGAGACTCAATTTTGCCACTCCCGGAGAGGTCGGCTTCACTGTCGAACACTACAATACTTCAGTCGACAGTTGTCAAAGGAACACGCTTATCGCCAAGTGAGTATTCCACTACCACTTCAATCCGAGATGGAGTGGTGGCTACAAGCTGTAGGTCAATCTGTACCGATACACATGAATGCAGTAGTAACTCACCTTCTAACAACCGATTCTTCAGATATTGGCTGGGGCGCTCAATTTGGTGATTTTAATTACCAGGGGGCCCTGGATAAACCGGCAACTAACCTGGCACGCAAACAGAAAACAAATGTTTGCATTTCATGAAGCGATATCACACGAACAAAATCTGCTACAGAACTCGCAAGTGCTTCAGACAGACAATCGAACAGTGGCGTCTTATATAAACAACGAAGGCGGAACCAAGTCCAAAAAGCTTCTCGAGCAAACTCGACAACTCCTTGCACTTCTAGACAAATTGAATATACACCTTCAGGCCCAGTACTTTCCAGGCATATTCAATGTCAAAGTGGACTCTTTATCACGCCAAAAGGCTTGCCCCGACTGGCACCTCACAAAGCGGCGACATCCAAAATATTTCGAATGTGGGGCACACCGGAGATAGACCTATTTGCGTCAAGTACTGCTCACGTGACCCCGTAGTATGTTTCAGTGAAGTGGCACTACAAACTAGCGTGGTTATTCCCACCACCCAATCTTATTCCCAGAGTCCTAAACCATTTAAAACAAACCAGCGGATATTGCCGAAATGGAACAAGGTGTTATGGCAGGCAGATGTTCTACGCCGAGCTCTACACCCCCTTATCGAAATCCAGACCTAGTACACACTCTAGTAGACACGAGAACAGGCATACACCCACCATAGATTCAAGACTATCTCTTGGAAGCATGGCTGATTTTGGGTGGCAAGATATGCTAACGAAATGGACGGATAAAGAACAGAGCTTGTTAATATCCAGTTGGTGAGGCGCTACGAGCAACACAAGCCAGCGTGGATTAGATGGAAAAAATAGTGCGAGTCTAAATCGGTTAATCATAAATATCCTAACCCAGAACAAGTATCACGTTATCTAGCACAATTTACATTGTGATATACATAGGTCTTGCTTACAGAACAATTTTAGTACATAAATCTGTGATTTCAACATTCACTCACTTAACTCCAGAAATAGATTTATCTTCAAATTTATTTATAAAACATATGTTAGAAGCAATATCTATGGCCCGTATCAAACCAGCAAATCCACCAATTTGGAATCCTAAGTTTCTTATGCAGTATATAAGTAAATATAATTTAAATGAAAACAATCTGTATGAAGTATCTAGGCATACAGCTACATTATTACTTTTGGCTTCTAGTCGGAGAGCTCATGACCGCACTTTGTTGCATATTGACAATAACAGTTTAATAGACTAACAAAGTAGCATAATCTTATGGCCAGCTTTTGGTTCCAAAACGGACATCATTAATCAAAGACAGTCTGGTTGGATGCTTAAAGAACATACTGATAAAAAATTTAATATTATTTTCTGGATAAGACAATTATTAAAGATATCTAAAAATCGCAGAAAGGCATTATATATACATAAATCATTTATTTATTACAGCTAGAGGTGACGCTAAACCAGCATCCCGTACTGTAATTCCTGGGTGGGTAAAATCGCTTTTGAGAGAGGCGGGTGTTGAAGCTACTCCTGGTTCAGTAAGATCAGCAGTATCTTCGTTAGAAAACTTTTCCCTAGATAAAATCCTTGCGACGGGTAATTGGAAAACCGTGCACACATTTCAAAATTACTATAAAAAATAACTAAAGGAAATTGCGGCAAATAATTCTGTATCTTTATCAAATTATTTTGATGCCATTAATTGATTGATAGAACAAATATTATATTAGTTTGATTTATTATTGTAATTAACAAAACCAAAACTTATTGTCATGGTCGCCAGTTATAATCAAATAATGTAATTATGGTGTAATATATAATGTTTTTTGCTGTGTATCTCTTGCAATAATTATTTTATTGTTTACCTTACACGTTATAGCGTTAATAACTATCACAAGTTATTAGAACCAGGTGATAACAAATACATCACTCAAGTTGGATTCCGGATATTGATATATAACAAATAATAGTTTTACCATAAAATAAAACTTACCTATTATTTTTTTATCAATATCCGGAATCCAGGTAAGGGCTACCTAGTGCATCCTGAGTGCCATAATGACGAGACCTGGTGCTCATCACTACTTAAATAACAAAGCAAAAACAGTGGTGAGGTACCCCCTCCATGCAGGTAAGGTAGCCGTAAGTGCTGACTTTATGCGGAAAGACAAGTGCTTGACTCGAGATGGATTCCGGATATTGATTAAAAATAATAGGGAAGTTTTATTTTATGGTAAAACTCTCTATTATTACAAATATAAATTATTGATTTATTATTATTTTTTTTTTTTTCTTTTTTCTCATCTGGTTGGGTGCTATAAATATATAATTATAAATGAAAATGAAAAGACAAATATACATAAATATCAATAACATAAAATAAATATAAAAGTACATAAATAAATAAAAGCCCAACCAGATGGAGGCCCTCGGCAGGGGAGACCAAACGGCCGAGGGTTAGGGGGGAAAGGGAAAGAAACCGGCGGACGATGCGGGCGGTATCGAGGAGCACCGCCTTCTGCATTTGAACCTGGAGCGGTCCGCCACGTAGTCCCAGCCGCCTCAGATGACCCGAGAGGCTGACTGGGATTAGCCCGTTTGCAGAGACGACTACAGGAATAATTTCGGTCGGCAGACCACCCCACATGTCGGTCACCTCGTGAGCCAGGTCCAGATATTTTGTTTGCTTGTCTGTTTCGGCTTTCACGAGGTTCTCGTCATACGGAATGGTAATGTCGACCAAAAATATCCTTGACTGTGCCCGGTCCATCAGCACAATATCAGGCTTATTCGCAAGAATAGTCCTGTCTGTGATGATGGCCCGGTCCCAATAGAGCCTGGCGCGATCATTTTCGAGCACGGCTTCCGGCAAGTACTTGTAATACGGCAATTTCCGATCCACGAGACCGTATTTCAGAGCGAGCTCCTGGTGTAGAATTCTGGCTACTAGGTTGTGCCTGTGCAAGTACTCAGAGTTAGAAAGCGCCGAACAACCGGAGATAACATGCCTAAGTGACTCACCGGGATGGCGACAAGCTCGACAGATGTCGACGGTGCCATCCTTTAGGATGTATCTCCGATAGTTGTTGGTCTTAATAACCTGATCCTGTATTGCACAGACAAAACCCTCGGTTTCCCCGAAGAGATCACCAAAGCGTAGCCAGTGGAGGGAGGCTACTGTGTCTACGAAAGGCTCATGTAGAGCCTTGTAGAACCTCCCGTGGAGCTCCTTCTCCTTCCATACGGTCTCCCGGTTGGAAATGCTCTGCACTGCCGGGTCTTGCCATTGCTCGTTGGCTAAGGATAGAGGGGTAAGTCCTTTATCACAAGAAATGACGTCCTTATAGAATGGATCATCCGATCTCGCCAGGAAGTAATCACGGAGACTGCACACTTCGCGATTATGCATGGTGAGCGCGCTCAAGAAGCCACGACCACCATGCTTCCGCGGCAAGTACAGCCTCATTACCGACGATCTCGGATGATGCATCCTATGGGACGTCATTGTAGTGCGGACTTTTCTATCCAGGGCGTTAAGTTCAGTCTGAGTCCACCTAAGTATGCCAAAGGTATACATGAGGACAGGCATGACCCAGCCGTTATATGCGTGTGCCTTATTCACACCGGACAAAAGGCTGTTAAGCACTTTGGTCAAGCGTGCATAAAACACGTCGCAAACTGACTGTTTCATACCAGTCTCATCGATACCGATGTTTTGTGACATACCCAGGTATCGGTATGTTTCAGCCTCGGAAAGGGTCCTTAAGTTGACGGGCATAGATAAGTCTACGCCCTCAGAGTTAGCAACCCTTCCCCTTTCAACATGGAGGACCGCACACTTATCCGTCCCCAGCTCCATTCCAATGGAATTGCTAAATTCACAAGTGATGTTTAGCAATTCCATAAGATGGGAGCGACTGGAGGCGAATAACTTGAGGTCATCCATATAGAAAAGGTGGGTCACTTTTGTCCCTCCTTTCCGTAGCTGAAATCCCCTCCCGGAGCCCTCCAGTAAGGTACTGAGAGGGTTCAGAGAGAGGCAGAACCAGATTGGACTCAGACAATCGCCCTGGAAGATACCCCTTCTTATCCTTATGTGGTTCTCCGCAGCCATCATCCGCTCGCCTAGATGACAAAGGATCGTACTCCACTGCCCCATACACTGCTCGAGGAAGTCTCTAACTGTACAGTCTATCTTGTACAGCTCGAGGACTCTCTTTAGCCATGTATGGGGCACCGAGTCGAATGCCTTTCTGTAGTCTATCCAGGCGGCGGAGAAGGTCCGACGGTTGCGTTTCACCACTTTGCCAATGACCGCGTCAATGAGGAGTGGTTCCTTGGTTCCACGACCACCGCCCCGACATCCATTTTGAGCGCGCGACATCACCTGATTTGAGTCCAGGTGACAAGTGATTCTCGCGCTCAAAATGGATGTTAGTGTCTTGTATATGGTCGGTAGACACGTGATGGGGCGGTATTTGCTCGGGTCTGTGGTACCCTGGTCTTTAGGAACCAAATGAGTGATCCCAGTAGTGAAGAGGCTTGGGAGCGACTTCTGGTTGAGAGCCTCTTGAAACTGTCGGGCAAGCACAGAGTGACACACCATGAACCCCTTCAGCCAGTAGTGATGCAGCCCGTCAAGCCCCGGACTTTTCCAGTTCGGGGCCCTACGGACCGCCTCAGCTACGTCATCCGGCGTTATGATGACGGGGTCCATGGGCGTAATACCCGCACACTGACTCGCCACAACTTCCGTCCAAGGGCCCTCGCTGTGGTTTACGGGCTCTGACCACAGGCCGCGCCAGAATGCTACAGTGTCGGCCTGATTCGGTGCTGGACCCGTTTCACTTACCATTGGTCGCTCCAATGATTCATAGAGCCTCTTCTGATCACTCTGGAAGAGACGATTCTGGTTGAACCGTGTCGACCTCTCGGTATATCGCCGAATCCGTTTTCCCCAAGCAGCGATTCTCTGCTTCAGATCATCTATGCGCTCCGTCAGTTTTTGCGTTATATCCGGCTGGGACAAACTGACATTTGTCCCAGCAAACGCCATCCTGACGGTGCGCACAATTCTTGGCCTGTTGTTGCCTGATCTGAAGCATATCAGTCTGCCGATGAGAGCTCTAGCCCTTGCGATACGTTCCTCAATTCTTCTTCTCCATGCTGGGATAGCGCTACTATGGCCAGTAGCGCGTCCAGCCGTGGAAACCTTGGCGCCTATGATACGGCAGACTGCCAGCGCGGCGCCAAAAAGAATTGAGTCCGTCTCGCAAAGGTCCCGGCTGGCTTCCAAATAGGTAACCAGCATTGGGTTCAGAGCCCTCACGACAGCCCGATTCCGCTTGCTTAGGGCTATGCGGGGAAGTCGCGGTCGATTTTCGAGAGGCGTACTGCGCGTTTCCACAATCGCCTCTTCCAATATACTCCTCATATGCTCTAATTCCAGTTCCTGGGCGACTGTTCCATCATCGTTTGAATCAACCACAACTGGGGTATTCACGGCGGCATCCACGTTTGCGGGTTCCTCTACCATTTGTGGCGCCGCATCCTCAGCCGTAGCATTCTCATCCGACGAGGGAACAGCCTCACGTCGTAGCCGTTCGAGTTCGGCGACATCAAATATATTTGAGCGCAAGATATACCGAACTCGGTCTGCCAGGTTTTGCTCTGTGACGATTAAAGATGGCTCCAGCTCAGCAAAAAGACGATGCATCCTAGCCCGATACGCCAAACATCCAGTTTCTTCCCCTTTTGCCCTAAAGTACGCCCGCAGTGCGTTTGCATTCATTTCTTGTGACCAACGCATGCGACGTGCTCCACCAGCGGCGGGTGCCGCTTGCTGAGTCCGAGAAGACCCAGCCGACACCAAGCCTTCTGGTGGGGATGATGGATGCGGAGGGCTGGTAGATGACCGTGCAGCTCCTCGCGCTCGGCTGGCGGCCCGCATGCTGCCGCGTCCAGCGCCAGCTCCAGACGCGCCCCGGCGACCCCCCAGGCAGCGGCCCTTTGCGCACTATCTTTTTATCCATCATCCATTATTTGGGCGTCCATTAACGGGAGACGCCCAGGCCCGGCACCGTTTCGTGTGTAGCCATAAGCACAAACGGGCCTCTGCACCCTAAATTCTGCCGCGGCACGGCGCTCACACCTCTCGCAAGGCGCTGACTGACTGCGTTGACGTAGCAGTTTTGTCACTTAACTGTTACGTCAGTTACGTTATTATTATTATTATTAGTCTTATTATTTCCCCATTTTTTTTAATGTTTCTTTTTATCAATAATTATAAAATTACTTCGTAGATACTACTTACCGACGAGAGCGCGGCTATAAATTCTACAAATTTTCAGGGACAGGCGAGCTATGCTTTATTACGTAGCATCGTTCTCCTGTTTTCTAACCTTCATGTTATGGAGTGTAGAGGTAAGGAGTACAGACTCTGTATAAAAAAGTGTCCGTAGGGAAGCGCCATTGAGTATTCAACCAACTGGAGAGGCCATGCGCGTTAATTACTAAACAAAAATTCTGTCAACATCGACTACACAGCTGTCAAGTTCACTTCCGTTTCCTACTTATCTTGGCATGGCGTCTCAGCTAATGGATGTTAATATAGCGCATAGCGCCATATTATAGCGCGCTATCTCTTCATAACGCATAGCGCGTGTTATGTAAGTAGTCGCCATGACGCTATGACTCTTTGGTGCTATTCATATGAAGCGGCAATTAGTTTTAGCAGCAGCGCTGTTGGAAGTAGAGACGTGTGACGCAAATTTAATCTAGCAGCACGCTATTCATCGCGCGCAAACTAATTTAGTGTTAAACGTTATTTAGTTAGTTGTCTGCCACAAAAGAAGCCTAACTAATGTTTTTAAATGTAAATAAAATATAGATACAAAAGTGTATATAATAGTGTTTATAAATAGTTGATTTTTGTATATACAATCAATAACTTTTAAATACACCTTTAATTGATTTATAATTTATATTAAGGTTAAAATAACGTTTACATCAATTATAATAAAAAAATGATTAATTTTATTTTGTTTTAAAAAGTACACGCCTCAAAAATATTTTTAGGGTTATAGAAAGTCGTAAGCCTGAAAAGTATGAAAGAGCGTTCATTGATTTTTTTACCACTTAATTTTATCTTAATCTAAAATGCGACTTATTACGAAATTATATTCTTATAAAGCACGCGGTCTATCCAATGAACAACATCTAAGAGATATAGCGTGCTGCTAAACTTAACGCGCTTGCCGGCCTCCTACACACTTTTTTATAAATAGCGCGCTATAATATAGCGTATTTAATAGCACGCTAGAAATTTCTAGTTTATAGTCTGTAGCTTGCTATTGATTTATAGTCGTTTTGAACAACTTTAGTCTTAGCAGTATAGAGAGCGCAGTGCCGTCTATTAAGAATTATGTGATTATTATTATATTATATAGATATTATTACGAATTTTGTTTCAGAAGTTTTGAATAATTTAATTTAATTATTAAATCAATTAATTGAAATATGGATTAACGAACATTCACTAAAAAATTCAGTTTACACCTATGTCGCTTATAGTATAAGTCTGTAAAACATTCACGGTAACATGCATAATATTTACTTGTACCAATAATATAGTTTAACTAGTACAGCACTAGCTACAAGTACCGGTAATTAAAGAAAAGTATAGCAACAATGAACTGCATTGAAAAGAAAGGGATGCATAGTCCGAAAATATCCGAAGATGTCCGAATAAATCAACGCGAGTCTGATTTAATTTTAATTGATGAATTTTGAAATTAAAATTCACTTATCTATGAAAAGTGAGCCCTTTTTTTTGAAATTACACGTTTGGCTACTATTTCTGCACCATTTTATTGTAAGGAACATCCAGCAACAAAACACAAAACCATCCGTCTGTCCACAGGGGGGCGCAAGAAAAACACACAAATGTATACTTAACTACAAATGCAAAATTAAATCGCGTCAATATAAACGCACACTACAGAATTTGTGTTTGTGTTCATTGCGTTTACCCATACCATCAAATTTTACACGTGTCGATACACTGATGGCGATATCTATAGTTCATAAGATAGCTTGATCTCTGCGACAGCTGTCGGTAAAAATCACGCCTATGAAGTCCTGAATTTCTTAGTAGTACAGACAGTACCTGTTAATGTCATACTTTATGGGCATGCACTAATTAGGTCGGCATACCCATAAAGTATGATATTGACAGGTACTGTTTATTTCAAAAACTCAAATCAAGAAGAAGAGTAGGTATAAAAAATATACCTTCGTTAAAAATAGTGCCATATATTTTAGACAGATTTAATTAAAGACTGGGAGTATAGGAACTTACATCTATTTAATAAAATAAAAGAATTTGTTAAGCATATATTTATTTATTTTCCTACCTGTGGCCACCAGATTCTGACAACCCTAACACCTACAAATTGCTTGTAATATGAAAACAAATGGATATAGAGGGCTAAAATTGCCCAAATATTTTATAGTGAATCTATTGTGCAAAAGCGTTTGGTACTGTGATAGAACGTCCACTTTGCCTTTAAAGTTATATTAGTTTTTGACAAGAATGCCATAGGAGCTACAGTTCCGCAAATAATGGATGCGGGCAAACATGGACAAAAATAAAGATAAATTTTCCAGTTATCAAAATTTCAAATTACTTGAAATTTTATGTTAATAAGACTGAATTTACAATCTTAACACAATTCCATAATCCGCTAGGTCATCCTTACAAAATGAGAAGTATAACATACATTTTTTTAAGAAAATCATTATTGTAAAAAAGCGGGCAAAATTGGACGGTTTGCCGGTACTTTTTTACAATGGTAGATCCACGCGTCAGCTTTGCTGTTGCACGTATGGGCCGACTCAAACTGAGGGGGTACCACGACCTCACAGAATACCGGCGTGAAGTGGAAGCTCTGCTTCCGCGTTTCGTCTGGTGAGTGTAGGTCTGTAGGCCCAACTCCCCCCCACCCCCATAACATGATAGCGGAATTAAGTGAATATCTACCCGAGGAGGGTACCAGCACCCCTGGAGAATCCCTCGCCGAACATCCAGGACCAATTTATTCGGCTCAGCTCTTTCTGACCGAGATGCTGGTGTCCCTCCGGCTGATGCTTCGTATCTCTCCTATCCGGGGTATAAACTGGAACACTCTTTTGTGCCTCGGGCTGGAGTTTGCCTATACGTCAGAGAGGACAGTTGTTCTCGATGTCGCGGCAGTCTTAAAGGTTCGGACCTGTCCATCCTTTGGCTACGCGTAGATAGCGACAACTATCCGCACGTCTACAAGTGCCTCTATAGGTCCTATAGCGTTAATGCCGAAATAGACCGACTATTCATGATTTTGCCTTGGCATGTGGTCTCACATAAATGGTTACTTCGCCTACGCGGATTTTAGTTGTGGAGGATCATGCACCTTACCTGTTCGACCTTCTGCTGACCTCTCATCCGGATGGATATCAGTTTTCTATCGACGCCTCTTTGGGCTCCTCGAACCATTGTCTTATGCGGAGTGTGGTACCACTCACGCTAATGTCGCGGTTGCATTCTGCATGCTGCCGCCGTGTTTGGTACTATAGGTCAGCTGATTGGGATAGGATGCGGTTTTTCTTTGCATCCTACCCTTGGGGGCGGGTTTGCTTCTCGCCGGACGACCTCAACGTTGTTGCTGATTCTGTCGCTGATGTGGTACTGCAGAGTATGGAACTTTTTATTCCTTCCTCTGTGGTGCCCATCATAGGCAAATCTCAGCCATGGTTTGGTCGCTCTTGTAAATAGCATCATGCCATAAGCAGGAGTGCTACCAAGCCTGGGATGACGCATCAACGTCCCGGGATGTAAGCACCAGCGCTCTAAAAAAGAAGTATAATTCCGTTTCCAGGTCCTTCAAAAGAGTTATTGCCAAGTCAGAGCACAGGCAGAATTGACGAGAAACTAGTTCGCCTTCCTTCTGGAACCCCTGTGCATTCTGGTCTCTCGCCAAGGCTGTCCGGGGGAATTTCTGTCGGCCATCTCTTCCATTTCTGCATAGGGAGGACGACTCTCTGGCTCATGCCGCAAAGGAGAAAGCCGATCTGCTAGGCTCTTTCTTTGCGTCCAACTCGACTTTCGATGACGGGGGGAGTACGCCGTCGACCATCCCGCGGTGTGAGTGCTCCATGCCGGAAGTGCAGTTCACATAGCGCTTGGTTCGCAAAGCACTCCTCTTCCTGGACATCCACAAGTCTAATGGGCCTGACGGAATCCCCCCCAATTGTTCCGAGGGCGTGTGCTCCAGCGTTGGCACCGGTTTTAACGCGTCTTTTCCGGTACTCCTACTTCCTAGGCGTAGTACCAAAATCATGGAAGCTTTCGTCCACGCGATCGCTAAAAAAGGCGACCGCTCAGACCCGACCAACTACCGGGCCATCGCCATCACCTCCTTGTTCTCCAAAACAATGGAGTTCATTGTAAACTGCCAGCTCATGAGGTACCTTGAGGATCACCAGCTGATTAGTGATCGCCAATACCGTTTTCACCGTAGTCGATCGGCTGGTGATCTTTTTATCTACCTAACTCATAGATCGGCGGAGGCAGTAGAGTCCAAGGAGTCTCGAAAACAATGTCCTCTCTGATGTACACGCAAACTCCAGCCCGAGGCACAGAGGTGTGCTATTTGTACCCCAGTTAGGAGAGATTCTAAG